TTATAGTAGCTTTTGGGACAAATACTACACTTTATACAATACAGGGAAGATTCTTCTCTCAATGTATCATACAATGTTAAAAAGATAATTACCAATTTTATTTAGCCAGAAGTAAAATACACACACATACACAATTTTAAGTGAAAAGGATTACTTTTACTTTTTGCAGTATATCAACTATCTCTAGTTGCCATCACTTGTGATTTTGTTTCCAAATATCATTTCAATAAGCCTTTAATAACAATTTTTGTGTATTACTGATAAGTTATATGTTACTCAAGATTGCATGGAAAGTAATTATGTACATATTGTTTTCATTTTATTATTTTCTTTTTATGTTTAATTTTGAACCAACATCAATATTTCAGTAAAATTAATTATAATAATACTTTTTTCCTGAGCCATTAGGAAGTGATGTCATGTTCTTACTGTATCACATCAGGGACACAAGATTTTGATTTGATCCACTATTGATAAAGCTAATTTTGGTCACTAGATTATTAACATTGTGTCTGTCAGATTTCCCCATCAGCGAAGTACTTGAGACTATATAAATATAATTCTCTTCATCAGATATTTAATTTATTTGTTTTTTATATCAAATATGGATCTATGGTTCCCTATTTTATTTAATGGTTTATGATCTGTTAATATAATGATTTTGTCATTCAAATAGTTTGCATATGTGGACAGTGGGAAAAACTTCAAGCTGGCTTCTGTAGCCTTTTGACATGTTCTCTTTACTTTCTGGCACAAGATCCTCCAGGTACATCTTATACTTTTCCTATCCTATCCCTGGAATGACAGCCATTTCTCCAAGGAGCACTGGTTAATTTTTTCGGAGAATGGTATTAAGAACCAAGATCTTAGTGCTGCATGTACTTAACTGTGTTTGGGTTCTTGCTGCTCTAGGTCTTTTCAGTGAGTAGGGTTAATAAATGTATATATGTATGTAATATGTATACATCTATATATGTTAATATATATTCACACACTTACATTTATATCGATCTCTATCTCCATCTTTATAAATTGAACACCATGAATTTATATTGATAATTTCCAATTCCAATACTATGCCATAGGGTTTAATCCAATTTTCCTTCTTAACATACTTGTAATTTCCTCCTCCAGCAATAGAAAACCTGACGCTTATTATTGTAAATACATGTATTTATTTGGTTAACCTCCTCTCGTCAATCTCCCACTGCCATCTCCATTGCTGTACCCACAGGATATCTTCATTACCACTCTGCTCATAATCTAATTACCTGCATGGCCACTCACATTACAAAAACCCTACTTGTCTCTGACACCCCACACTGGGCTGGCTGCCTCAATGCTGGGATTCCCCCTCAATTCTGCTTATGCTCTGACAACTTGTGTTGGATCATTGCTTCCACCCTCTCACACAACCCATGGGCTCCCTGCTCTTTACCCTATCCAGTGACTCTGCAACTCCATGCCAAGCCAGCTCTCTCTACCCACTTTGGGTGCTCCTGTCCCCCAGGCTGGGCTCTGCCAACCCACTCTGGACCACCGTGGACTCCCCACCTGCTGTCGAACATGCCCAACTGTTTGGCTCCACCTAATGGCTTTTGGATGGAATTATTTGGAAAGGGAGAGAAAGGGCCTAAAAAGAAGGGAAGGGAAGGGAAGGGAAGGGAAGGGAAGGGAAGAAGGAAAAGAAAAAGAAGAAAATACAGTAGGAAGAAGAAGCCCTTTTATTATTTTATTATTCACTTAAGAGGAACAAAGAAATAATAAAGGTATACTATCTTCACAATGGAGAGGTCTGTTTTATCTACTGAATTAGGGGAATATGGAATAGTCCTTTATCATATATTTATGGTTATAAATATAGATATGGACACATATATACACAGATGCAAAATAAGAAGACCAAGTAAATCAGGGGCAAGACCACTAGCCAGTACTCTTCTCTTTTTAGCACACGGTAGGATTATATTCCTTCAATTCCCCTTGAAGTTAGATGTAGTTATATTACTTGTTTTACCACTGAAGTGTGAGAAATGACATAAATAACTACTAGATGGCAAAATTTAATTGCTGATGTTTTTAAATCAACATATAAACTCTCAAAGTATCTTCTGGCATGAAGACTGTGGAAACGGGTCTCCATAAGGTGGTGCAATGCTGGAGGACATGCATGCACCTGTTTCATGGAGGACAAACTGCCCTGGAGAGTTACCGAAACTGTAGCTAAATTCCCATGAGGAAGAAATAAATAAATCTTTTTGTTCTTTTAAGCTCCTGAACATCTAGGCTGTCTGTTACTGCAGTACAACCTAATCTATCCTTATTAATTACAAGAGGTTATCTAACCTTCAGTATAATATTTAAAGGTAAAGTTCTGACTGAGGTAAACCCAAAAGTATAGGCTGCAGCATGTATTTCATGAATCTAGATAATTTTGAACATAGACTCGTACTGTAAGTTATTTCCCAAAAATCATATAATTTCATGTCTGAACACTTCATGTATCATTTTCCTAATATAGTATCTTCCTTTAAAGTTATCAAAGCAATTTTATGATCCATTGAAAATTAAGATTAATGACATATACAAAGCACTAACCCCTGAGGAATAATAGAAAAACCTACTTCTGTGTAGAATTCTAAAGGATTATCTGATTGGCAGGGAAACATACTTTAAAACTTCCTGCAGATATAGCTGTTAACTCATTTTTAAAATAGCTCAGAATTGTGAAAGTCTTATTTTGAATAAGAGAAAATGTGTTTCAGTGTTCAGTAAATATTAGGAAATCAATAAATAGGCTTTGAAGGATAAATTACTAATTAAATATTTCATATAATTAATCAGTTTTTTAAAATGTTATTAACAGGGACAAATAGCAGCAGATCCCACAGAGTCTCCTTTATGGTTTCCATTGAAAATTATGTTTTGTAATACTGTATTATATATTTCAACATAGCTGTAAGAGAGGATTCTTATTGCTCCCACTATAAAGAAATGATAAATGTTTTAGGTAATAGATATCCTAATTACCTGATTTGGTTATTACACAATGTATACATTGTATCAAAACATCAAACTATACTCCATAAATATGTACAATTATGTGTCAATTAAAAACAAAACAAAACTTTAAAAAATTATGCCCTTATGATTTACTATATAAACAGCTATAACTTACCAGCATGATTTGCTTGCGATGCAGCTACTAGACTTAATTAAAAATTATTGAAGTCCTACCCTTTCAAACTAAGTGGATGATACATATCAAAGAGCAATCATAAATTTCTCCTTTAAAACATTTCATGACCTTTCAGTGTGAAACATCATGTCTACAGAAATAATGATCTGGTGAGTTCTGCAAGCATGGCAAAATCCTTGCCATGTGACTCAGGGGGTGAAAAGTCACTCATTACTAGTCACACAGCAAGAGTCTGCAGAGTATAATGAATTTACAGGAAGCAGGGTGACCAGAGATCTAATTTTAATGAAGCCCAAGACAAAATATGAGCTGATAGAATTCGAAGTCTGAATATAATCTATACAAGGTTATTGTTTGACAACACAAGAAATATAATTTTCTCTCTAAAAGGTTCTATTTTGTCAATAGATAAACTTTTTTAAACAAATAGTTAAATTTATATTAAGGTGACTAAAAAAACATTTTTGACACTATAAAGAAAATTCTAAATTTTCTCATAGGTTGATTTTTGAACAGAGTCTCACTCTGTTACCTAGGCTGGAGTGCAGTGGCACAATCATAGCTCCTTGCAACCTTGAATGCCTGACCTCAAGTGATCCTCCTGCCTCAACCTCTGGAGTAGCTGGGACTACAGCCATGAGCCACAGTGCCTGAACAGACACTTTTTATATGTAAAATTTTTGACTCATGTAATACTCATGTGTCAAGGCCAAGGCAGTTTATATGTTTGCATAGTTATTACATATGTGGATAGCAAGTTTGAATAAATAAGAACACTATCAGGTTTCTATCACTAAAATATTTCATGAACAGAAAAATTTTTTAAAAGTATAGATGACATAAAACTCTGCCCAAATGGATTACTTGGGGTGATACATAGAAGAAACGCATGCTTACTACAAATAGAAACCATTATCTGTGCTAAAAGTGAATGAAGAGAAGGGTCATTTAGCTTGATAGTATTTAAATAACACACACTTATATTCTTGAGAAAGAACATGCCTTAATGTGAAATAACTTGATTTACTTCTATGCTTTTCTCACTCCTGTGTTATTTTCCAGAATGACAAGATTAAGTATGACATTATATCACCCAGTCACACAGAGGCCAAATTAGCATTTGGATAGCAGCTTGAGAGACAATTACCAGGAGTCTTGTATTCTTGACAATAAAGCTTGCAAGTGAGGTATGAATATGTGACAAACATCCTTTATTCATCCAATAGGGTGAAGTAATTTAGGAGCAACATATTTTCAAAATGAACACAATCTATGTAGGAGACTTCTGGATATCAGAGTTTATGTTCAGAAACGTGAATGGTGGAAAATCCTTATAATTTTCAGTAAAGCAATAGCTATGCTTTTATTGGTTTCAAATAAACTGTATTAGTGGGCACACATGCCTTTTTAAGTGAAGGTAGAATGTGATTTCAAAGGGTAAAACTGACCACTGAAATAAAGAAACAACAAGGAAACACCTGGAATTTAGGGGCTATTTTCAGACTTTATCACAGGCTTGAAACTTTGGCTTAGAAAGAACTTGCACTACTAGGAGTGTTGGAAAAAGCAAAATAGTTCACTTGTAAAAGTCTTTTCTCCTTCATTAAAGATCCATTTTCAAGATTAATTTGGGGAAACAGAATCATACTGCCCAATACATCAACAGATATTAAGTCTCCTAGGATTGCTGGATTTCTGGTAGATGATTTTCATAGAATATCATCTTATCCAGGCTACATGCAAAAAAATGCTCGCCAACTTCCAAAAGGAATCTAGGTTCCTTCTGAGGCTGGTGACTCACCTTCTTCATCTGCATAGGCCAGAATGGATCGTGCTCGTATCTGTTTTCCTTCTGTGGTTTTCCCCGAGCAGGTGTGTGAGCAGGAGGACCATGTAGACCACGTGCTGAGCACACAGTCCTTGGGGCACGGGGCATCGCAGGCCACAGGGATGGGGAAGATGGCATCTCTGCACAGCTGTCTGTCAACTTCTTCTCCTGGGAAAGACATGATCACCAACAGTCCATCATTGTTAAATCAATGTAAAATGAGCAGTTGAAACCAGATGGGCACCCAGATAAATTAGGTTATTGTTCTTTTGTTCTTACTTAAAAACAAAGCCAAAGAGGAATTGCCTACTGTAACCAGATGTTAAAAAATAGTAAGAACAAGCACATGCACACACATACACACACACATCTCTAAATGAAGTTTCTTTTATTATCAGAAGCATAGGTGTATAGATTAAGCACACTGGTGAAAGTATTTTTATGCTATGGATATCTGCCATTAAGTAATTTTTATACTCATTAAGTTGCAATAAGGACTATCAATGAATTATGTTCCCCTCCTTTATGCCTTTATTGGAGATGGGCCAAGATTTACATACAAATAAATAATGACTGTATCTATACCAACTCATAGGTGTCTTTATTTACAAAGTGTCTTGTGTCTCTCAGAGAAGTTATTTTTGTTTAATTGGCAACCTTTTTTTTCACAAAAAAATTAGTTTGTTAGTTGGAAGTAGCCAGGAAGTGTAAATGACAGGAAAGCATTATAAAGCCTCTGCATGAGGCAGTCACAATCGGGGAGGCAGGAACACAAGACAAGGCAAACACATGGCAGGAGTCTTTAGAGTTTTCACTTCAGTGCTTAACTGGCTCTTTGTTAGTTTCCTACAGCTCTGAAGATAAAGGCCAGATTTCCTAAAAGTTTAGAAGACCTCAAATGACCCGGCTCTTACTTCCTTCTCTGGCTCATCTCACTCCACTCCTTCACTTTGCCCTTGAAACTCTAGAGATTGACAAAAAATTGACACTCATTTCATATTTGTTGAATGAATGAAATGAGATCTATAAAAGGCCAATGAAAAAGAAAATACTGTTGCTGTGAATAAATGCCAAAGGCAATCAACAGAATTATAAATAAATGCCCAAAGGAAAGTATGAGAAAAAGTCTGAACTCTGTGGCTTAGCTGGTTAACACGGGATGCTAATGAGGTCAAGACAACACAATGAAACAATACACAAACAAGCAAAAATTAACCTGCTATTTTGCCACAGAATGGAACCATATTTATGGGGTGAATACATAAAGAATATGTGCCTTGTGCTGGACATTCCAGTGAGAAAGGGTGACTAACTTGGCCATTCCTTACAGCTATTGAACAAAGAATTCCAAGCTGTTTCTCACTGAGAGAGGATTAGGAGCATCCCTTTAATGTATACTCCTTTATTCATATATTTGAAAAACAAGACAGAAGATCAGAAGTCAATTGGAAATGCTCTGACATGTTAATAGCTACTAGTTTGCAGGGCCTTGAATCATTAGACAAAATCAGAAGTCAATTGGAATGCACTTATGTGTTAACAGCCACTAGTTTGCATGGCCTTAAATCATTAGACTTCCTCCCTAGTAAGGGAAGCTCATTAAAATTACAGTTGAGTCAACACTGTACCATTCATTCTTTTTTATTTACTATGATCTGTAGAATCTCTTTTGAATTCTGCTTTTATTAGCTTTGAAGTTTGTCATGCATCTTAATAAAACAATATGCTAGATAGTAGATATATAGGTGGGTAGGTAGAGTACAAAAATTATTATAGGCATTTAATATTTTGTAATTTATACAATGATGACATTTTTCTACTAGGCTTTTTGTTAGTGCAAGGAGAGCTTGCATATATCTTATTTCTTTCATTGCTATCTTTTCTTGTACCATCTTTCCCTCTCACTTTTTTCATATTTGTAGAAGGAATGAAATGAGATATACGAAAGGCCGATGAGAAAGAAAATACTATTGTTGTTAATAAATGCCAAAGGCAACCAACAGAATTATAAATAAATGACCAAAAAAAGTATGAGAAAAAATTTGAACTCGGTGGCTTAGTTGGTTAGTTTTGCTTCCAATGTTCTGTGAAAAGCAAGAAAAGATTGGGGCTACAGCCTATAGTTAATAAGAGTTATAGTTTAATTTTTTTGTTAACAGCTACCCAGTCATTTCTTACTTAGAAAAATTTAATTTATTCTATGGCAATGAAGAGTTTACCACAAGTTGCTATTAAATTAGCTTACCTGGCATAAGTGATGTGTTTCTGTTTGCTGCAAACCAAAGTGATGTGCAATTTTGACTTTTCTTATCTTTTAAGTTACTCTTTTTTCAACTGTGTCACATACCTTATTTTAGCTCTTTTTCATTCATCTTGCTCTGCTTAGCCAGATGTATTTTCCTATAGGCACATGCCCTCAACCCAGAGAGCATATACCTTAATCCTGTGTGGAGCTGTTAAGACCCACCTCGGATCCAACTTCTGAGATTTCCCTGATGGTTTCAGAGTGGTTTCTCCACTCTCCCCAACTCTGGCAGCTGTGATCTTGTCCCTGATTACCTCTGATCACTGTGCTGTCCCACATTCACAGTGAAGGTTATGTTCTAGCCACGTTGGCCTTTCTCCCTTTCCTCCTTACAAACCGAGCTCATCGTTGCCTCAGGGCTTTTGCACTTTCTCTTCACTTGGTATGAACATTTCAGATCTTTACACAACGGACTGTTTCTTCACATCCAGCTTTCAGTTCAGTTTGCTCCTTCCTAGAGGAGGCCTTCATTAAGTATACGCACTCTCCTAATAACTTCAGTTTATTTTTGTTATAGATTTAATCACCACTAGAACCCATTTTAGTTAATTATTGACATGTTTATTGTCTGGCCCTACCACTAGACTAAATGAGGGTGTGGTCCTTATTTGTCTTGTTCATTACTCGATATTTACAACCTAGAACACTGCCTGCTGACATACATTAATAGTAAGCAATAAATAACTTTTTGTTAAATTAATTAATTAATTTTAAAATGGTGTACTAGAAAACAGAATGCTCGTCTAGACAAATAAGGATCTAAGTACAGTATTTCTTAAATTGTCATACATTCAAGTGCTCTAGGTCCATGCTAAAGTGTATTTAGTGGACAAGCAGCATATGCATCACCTGGAGAGTTTGTTGGAAATGCAGCCTCTCAGATCCCAGTTACTGAATCATAACCTGCATTTTAAAAAGAACCCCAGGTGATTTGTATGCACATAAAATCTAAGAAACATTGCACTGGGATCTTTCTGCATTTACTGTCTTCTGGTTTGATTAGAACCAGACTGCCTCTTGAAAGGGCAACTGTATAAAATGAATTCACCTGGATTTCACACCTAATGCCATTTGCTTCTCTGTGGGGCTTCTTTTTCCACACTGTTCACACAGAGTATTTGTGGCCGAAAATATTCGTTCAGTGAAGAGTTACTGAATGCCTATCTTCTGTCAGGTACAGTGATATGCATGTTGCACACATCATCTCAGAAAATTCTCACAGTAACCTTTTGACATAGGTATTCATATCTGCTTTTTACTTGACAAGTTTAAGTTACTGTCTCAAATTACAGAAGGTTGACTAAAGCAGCAGAGATTTGAACTGAGTTCTAATCCATTTCCCAACCTACTTTTTAACTGGTATGGTGGTAGGGAAAACTTGAAATGCCAAGGCAGTAAATAATGGATAAGCCTTTTTCTACGAAGAAGCCAAGGAAAGGGCACTCTCAAGTTGTTTCTCAACATAGTGATGCATGGTGCCAGCCACACACTGCCTCAAATACAAAGATATGCATTGTTGACGTGTCCGGGGTTGTATATTTTGGCTCATAGCCATTGAACAAACAACAATGGGTCTATGAGAATATGGAATCATTCAAATCTTTGGTTTCCCTTTCAATGAATGCTTTAATCAACTCAGCTAATTGGAAACTTAGGGACTGTCCTCTTTTTAAGCTAAATCTCCAGCATTCCAGGCATAAATCATCTGGGAAACATTAGGTAAAAAATAAAATATAAAATAAAAAATAAAATAAAATAAAAGTTGGTTAGGTCTATGGCTATCACAGGCAATGACACAACTTGTCATCTCCAGCCACTTTATGAGGCTGGTAAATTTATCTTACTTTTTATACAAGAAATAATCCTGGAAGTAAGGTCTTACAAGAGTAGCAAAAAATAATTTCATGCTTCTTCCTCGCATTAAAACTTGGCTTGGATTGATAAACTTTGTTTTGATTAGATAAGAATTTTTTTTGCATGGCATTACTTCAGAGAATATATAGGAGTAAATTGCATGCTCATATCTAAATATACTCTTCTATTAAGATGTAAAAAAATGGAAATTTTGCTGCTTAGCATTTCAGAAATTCCACTTTTCCATATCGCTGTCTCACAGTTAGGCCATATTCAACCACCAGGTGTCCCCACTATAGAACTATTTGAAATTAGGTATCTGAGTATGCATCCCATTGAATCTGGGAGGACACATCTGATTAGCACTACTGTGATTGCTGTCGTTCTATCACTGGTGGAGGCACAAGACAATGCAACTTCTTTTCCTTCTTTAATCTCTCTGAGGACAATTTCTTAGCTAGATTCCTATCATTATGTCATAAACTTAGAATCCTCCTCATGCCTGCCTTTGAGCATTACATTTACAATCTTTTTCAGCAGACATGGACCAACATAAAAAGTTTCAAAAGATTGCTTTGCATTTATACAGCTTGTTTTTTCACCCATGAAGGCCTAGGCATTTTAACTAAACCTAAAAAAAAAAAGTGTATTTGACATAAAATATATAATGTAGAACTAAATGAATGAACCATTGTATACATTTTACAACCTTCACCTCATTTTGAAGCCTTAAGTGAAGCATATCTTGTTTAAAATTGTTTGTGATACCTTACATAAGAGGTTGAGATATAAAATGAAAATGCTTGGGTTTATTTTTATGAACTTAAAATGATACTAAATGTTTAAGTTAATATTTCCCCATTTAATTTCCCTTTCTTCACAAATGTAATTTTAAATTCAAAATTCATCATTTTAATAAACTTGGACATGTACTTTGACATCTTTAAAGTGACCCCCAACATCCTCTTATTTGGTTTATTTTCATGAACAGCACAAAACTCTTTCATGA